CATTTTGATACCGATACAGGTCCTTTTGGTCATGCTAAGTGACTATTGAAAAAAAAGTTTGCTTTTGTAGAAACAAGTATGTTTTTCATGAAATGATATTGGAAGAATTTTGCCCAATATTTATATTTAGTAATAATACTTTGAGGAAATTGTGGGATTATAATATATCGTCTATTGCAACTAAGGAAATTATTGATATTTTCAGAAGACCATGAGCATATCTGGAAACTAATTGAAATTTGTAACTCTGTTTCTTGGTTTCTACAAAAGCAACTTTGTTATTTGAGAAAACAACCGCATGGTTGTTTTCTCAAAGCAGCCAATATTTACCTATTCTGATTGAAATATTTTGAAATAAAAGAACTCTTTGTTTTTGAAATATTGAAATTAAAGAACTCATTTCGGAAGATTAATTATTCAAAAGCAATATCTTGTTTTGGAGAAAAAGCAACTCCAAAAGTGCAACCAATATAGACCTTCTGCAATTCAGTTTCCTAGATGATTATATTTGTTTTACATTTTGCAGAAAAAGGTATCTCGCCTTGCTGCTATTGTAAGTGACGAAGAGAGCACTTATGTTTGTTCTGACCAAGAGTCTGCATCATGTGACAATGAGATTCAGAGCAAAGACGAGAATGTCAAATCAGATGATGAAGCTGAAATTGCTGATCTGATTAAACAAGTGGAACGGCTGAAGAAAGAGCGTTCCGTTCTCTGGCTTCGAGAGTTTAAGGATTGGATGGATCATTCATCTGAAAATTGTGTAGATGTCAGTAATGATCATTTGGCTACTCATACTGAGTATGAAAATTTTATGAAGAATAAGAAACGCCAGGAGCATCATGGTGAAAGTTCAAGAAACATGTTGGGCTCTATACAAGCTTCAGGAGATGAGAGAAGTACAAACATTTTAAAGCCTGATAATCCTTTTGCAGATACAGCAACTGGTTTCCATTCCCATCAAAACACAGATAATAATGACCTAGTGGGGGCTACTGGTGGAATTCTTTTACCAGGTGTTTGGAGAATGGATCCTAGGGATGAGCATCAACCTCCTTATTTGCCTGAAGGGAACAGTAATTTATTCATGCAGGCTAAAAATTTACATCCTGATACTTTCACAACGGAAGATCAAAGGATAGTTGAAAATGATATTATACCACAGTTGACTGCAACTGATGATATAACAGAGTCTCGTTCTTCCTCTGTCTATCCTGGATCACCGCCTCATTATCGAGAGGATGTTCTGCATCGACGCCATAATTTGGTGGAAGAAATTTTGCAACTATCAGCAGAGTCTTTTTCTGTGGCATCATCTGACAGTAATACCAGCTGTTGTGAAGATGAGTCTTGTGAATCTGAGCAATTGTGTCTTGAAGGTCGTCAGTCACTGGACCAAGAATGTACAACTATGTGCACAGAACAGCTTTCGTCATCTGTTTTTCATGTAGACAACTCTTTAGAACTGGGAGATGAGATTCCCTTGTCCTAGAGAAAATGGGGCAATCTCGTTAGATTCTCGGTTTAAACAAACCTCTATTTCTGTGAATACTTTAAATCAAGGCAATCGCTGCATTTTGCGG